AWCAAACATATAAACTTCTACCAATACATATCTAAAAGATAAACAAGAAATACTAACTYGGTTATVTGATGAAGAAGATCTTAGACAGATCTTACAAAAGAGAGAAATATCGAGAGAGGAAATCTTGTATACGAAAAGTTTAGTGAATATGGAAAAATGAGAGTTATGAGCTAAGCATCCGGCTCCATCCCCTTTATATATGTATTGGGAAATGTCACGAACAGCCCTTGTAGAATCCAAACTCTTGCTCCGCTACCCTTTGATATATCAGAAATGTGAGGCGCAGTCCTTGTAATTATCATCCAGCTACCACTTTGACTAATGTACATATTCAACCCATATTTGTCAGAAACCTAACAAATAAAGGACATTCAAAGATAAATTAGTCAACAATTCAAGATTGGAAACTATATATGAACTTTTAACACCCGCTCTCAATCTTGACGTTTAAATAGATCTATCATTTTTAACTTTGAACACATGTAATTGTGCTGATTAACACCAAGAATTTTAGTCAAAATATATGCGGTTTGTTCAGAAGAATGAATTTTAACAATCTTTAATACACCTCTACTAATTTTTTCACGAATATAGTGTATATCTATCTCAATGTGTTTTGTTCTTTCGTGGAAAACTGGATTATTAGCAATCTGAATAGCAGATTTGTTATCACAGAAAAGATTTACAAGAAGAAGATTATTAACGTTTAAATCAAATAGTATTTTGAGAACCCAAACAATTTCACACGATACAGCAGCCATGGCTCTGTATTCAGATTCTGTTGAAGAGCGTGGAACAGTGTTCTGTTTCTTACTTTTCCAAGAGATAATAGAATTCCCAAGAAATAAACAAAAACCTGTAACAAATCGACGAGATGAAATACACTTACCCCAGTTAATTACTCCAGATTCTTTCATTTCCATGTAAAGATCATTTCCTTCACGAGTCTACATAAGCAGTAAGATTAAATGTATATGACCTTGTAAGACTGACTCCCTTTCCAGGAGATGACTTTAGATACCTGAGAATTCTAAGCGCAAGTTTTAAGTGAGACTGTTTAGGAGCATGCATAAACTGACTTAAACAATGCACAACAAAAGCTATATCAGGACGTGTTCCAAGTAAATCAATCAATATTCCTATTAATTTTTGATAACCCGAATAATCAGCCAAAGGAGGATCCTTTGAACTATTTGAATCAGAAATGACTAAATTAACATCCATTGGAGTACTAGACGGTTTACATCCCAAATAGCCAAAATCATTTAACAGTTCCAAACAATATTTTCTTTGGGACATGCACACACCATCAATACAATCTAGAATTTATTCCTAAAAAGAATTTTAATTTTCCTAGATCTTTTATCAAGAACTTACTTTTCAAGTACTCTTTGAAAATGTTAATTTCATTCATACTATTCCCATTCTAGCTTTGTA